CCTCATGTGTTTCTTCATACCAACCCAAGGGGAGGAAAAAAAGGTAGACCTGCAACAACACGATGCCACATTTGTTGTATGCCCATTTAAGTAGAAAGGTTTTGGGTGTCTTCACAATGTTTCTGAGCTGAATAATGTGGAGGTGTTACAGGAAGACACACCCTGCTGTGTACATTTCTGTCACGTCATCTGTCTGTCATGTGCATGCAACAACTGACATGACATGAGTCATTACATGCTGAACATTGCAGTATAGAAAATGCCATACTTTTGTTGTCAGCTCATGATCATTTCACTCATAATTCAGTTGTGAAAATCTTAAGTTCTTTTTGGAGAAATAAGTGTACATTCCAGCTCCATGACAAACAAAGCTCCCATCTGTTTTATATTTCCTGACAGTTTCACAGCTATTGAGCATTCCCTTTACGTCCTTTTATTGTATTCCACTAGTGGAAAATACTTTGAAAGGTCCCCTGGTGGGCCAGCGTAGATTATGTGCGTATACATGCTCATTTTCTCACCGTGGCTCCTGAAAGTTGGATAAAGTCTCGACGATATCCTCATGAACTGAATGAAGATACCTGTATCAGCATTTAATGTCCAAATATCTATGACGACTGTTCATTCCTGCAACAGTTATTGTTCAGACATGCAGTTATCACATTTCACTGTCAGGTGAGGTACCCTAACTGCAGATGAATTCTCCTCCTCTGTGGGAGAATCCCCAAAATCGGGAGATACTGCAAGGTAAAAATATCAAATGACAATATTATGGCAGTGGTTAAAGTTTACATAAGTGTAATGTTTCGTCTCGAAGGTGACATCATTTTAACTCTCGCTTTCATTCATATACGTGCTGCACTTAAGTCCTGAGGCAGTATAAAAGGCCTGTCTTCAATCTTCAAGCTTATTTCTCGTAAAACACCAATCAGTGGTCTTGCAGGAAGTCATACCTTGCTGCAAGACGGATTGTTCAATTAGTGGTGATTGCTGCATGTCTCAAGAAAATTACACTAAGCCTCTTACTTGCTTACAACCTTAAACGTGATAATAATGGTGATATGTGGCTCATATACATGTTTGAAAAAGGGGGGTAGCAAACGTAATAATAATGACCCCCTGTCCAGTTTTGTGTATTACTGAAGAGATAAACACTTTAAGACACAGAATTAAAATTACACAATAAAACATGGATTAGGTTACACTGTCTGATACCCTCGTCTGTGTTAGTAAAAATGCAGAACTGGTCTTTGTGTGTGTTTTACCAAGGCTCGTCCAGACATGATGTTCATCATCACCACACCTTGCATAACTCAAGTTTATGAGTGTTGAAATACCCTGAACCTGTTTTGGCTGTTTGCTATTGCACTAGCAGTGACAGGATGAGTGCAAAAGCAAATGTTTAAGGAGTACATATTATCCTCTTCAAGCAAGTTAGTGATCTGATGGTCATCATCACATGATTTGACTTTATTAAATATGACAAAAAACACTGTCATCGTACTACACAAGTTACTGCATTCACAAGCTGTGCATTTAAAACAAACAGACCTCTGTTGAACTGAACACATCAGTTCGAAGGGAGGATTTGTTGAAAGTTTTGTTTGACCGGGAGCAGCAGGCGAGCAGTTGTCACCCTGTCCCTGTTGTGCACTAAATATAAGACGGTCTTCTAAAATGCTGGGAGAGGCTGAGGGAAGTGATAGGACAAGCAAAACAAATACATCAGTCCTGCCGTCTCCCTGGCAGGTCCGTTATGAATAATTTATCCAGGATGACGGATGTTTTGGATGTTTGGTTCCCTGGAATCACAGCTGTAACTGAGGCCCGCCATGATCCTGAAGTTTCTGAAGGTCAATGGTGCACCATGAAAGATGAGCAGGAGCTTCAGACAGGTTGTTTCCTGTCTGCTTTATCATCTTGCCACCAAGCCTCCTTTGCCACCAAGCCTACATCCATACTAGGGGGTCCGTACTACAAATGGAGGTTTGAGCTCAGACCTTTCTCACAGCAGCCATTTTCGACATGGCATAGTAGGGTAAACACAGGCGTTAGCATCTGATGCTAATTAAGGCTCCATTCCATTCAGTGCACCAGAGCCTTTCCAGTGAGACAACATGCACAACAGTAGGAAGGGAACCTTAATGACTATAGCTGCTAACACCTGGGTTTCCCCTAAAAGGTCTGTGGTCACAAATAATATGTTAACATGCTGATGTTTAGCAGGTTATGTTTAATGTGTTAGCTGCATTTGCTAATTAGCACTAAACACAATGTATTGCAGAGTATGACGGTAAAGTCATTATTTTTGCAGGTAATTGGTCATAAATCAAAGTTTGGACAAAGTTTTGACCTGATAATGGCGCTAGATGAAAAGACAGAAGATCAACGTTATTACAATTCTTCCTAAGGAGGGCACGGATATCAGTACCAAATGTGATATGAATCTATCCAATAGTTGTTGGGATAGTTTACTAAAATCCCAAAATGTCAAGTTGCTGGTGGCGCTAGAGGATACCTCTGGGGATCACCAAAGTCTGATGAATGTCTGTACCAGATTTCATGGCAATCCATCCATTAGTTGTTGAGATATTTCAGTCTGAACCAATGTGGAACTTACACCTAGAGCAATGCTGCTAAAAATAAAAGGGTCTCTGAAGAGCCAAAATTAATCAACAAGAATTTAATAATTTAAGCATGGGTTAGGTTGGCTATTGAATAAGCTTGGGAGGATGATCACTTTATAGATGAAAATGTGAGACTTGATGGATGATCTAAGACTTATTTGAAGCTGTCAGCTCCAACCTTTCTTAGAATTGTTAATTACTTGCTGTGAACCGGCGAGATGCAAACACAGTAAGCATTGAATGGAAATTTGGATTCAAGTCAGGATCTACATTCTGCAACAACAATACGTTTATTAGAATTGTTTGGCCAGTAGGGAGGCTACCTTCAGCTTCCCTTGAGGTCTGTGACATGTAGTCAGTAATCTGCAAAGAGGGCTTGCATTACTATCATACAAACATGCAACTGAAGTCATGCAAGGGAAAGTGTGTCACATGCCCAAACCATATCTCACTAAGTGAACAAGTCTAGCAGGTTAACCATCTTAGTTTAGTGTGTAAGCATGCTAACATTTGATATGTTGCACTAAAACACAAACAACAGGCGAGGCTGATGGGAATTCCATAATTTTACAGGTATATGGTCGTAAATTAAGGTACTGAAAAAAGACCTGATGTTGGTGCTATATGGAAATCAAAGGGGTCACCAAATGTATTTCAATTCATCTTGAGGGGAACATGAACGTCTAATGTCACGGAAACTCATACAAAATCAGGGGATTGTGCTAGTCCACCTAGTAGCTGTTGAGCCATTTCATTGGATGAAAGTCAGTAGGCTTCACGCTCTGGGCACCACAAATGTATGTACAAAATTCTACAGAAGTCCATTCAATAAAGGGGCATTTCACTGAAAATGAAAAAATGTCAACCTCATGGTGGGGCTGTAGGAAAGGTCAGAGGATCAGCGTAGTCGGTAGAGCTTCGTCATCTGAGAACGGCGAATAAATGTGAATGCAACTTTCATGACAATCTATTATCTATTGAAATAAATAGTAATAAATATAGAACATGCATGATATTATGGCAGCTCAAGCCAAAGACAGAAAACAAAATGGCACACTGAGGTATAGAAACTAAACTGAAAAAGTAAATGAAACCAACATTGTAATGAATGTCCTCAGACTGTGACTCTATTGTCTCAGGGGCCACATTTTGGGATGTAGCAGGAAAACACGGCCTCGCCAGCTTCTCAAAGAACAATGGTTGGTACTTCCTCTAACAGCAACCAGGACAGGATGGTTGACTGGCCCATTAATAATGTTAAGAATCATAATAATCTTGTTTAGGAGCTGTTGGTGGAGTTGACAGAGGAGGTCTTCAGCTGCCTGACTCTGGAAATCATTCCCAACACTGGTGATTATGTCTGAACCCCCCTGCTGCAGACTAACATGGACCATTGATTTCTGTGGACGGTGGGGGGGGGGGCTGCAGTTTAAGACCTGAGTTTGCTCAAGTGAAGTGTTTTAAAACCATTTGTTAGTCATCAGCAAACACAAGCTGAAAAATAGAGACAACAGTCTGTGGAGAGCAAAACTCAGAGCTATTTCATAGAGCACATCCGCCCAGGGGGCAGCCCGCCGCTCTGCATGTGCAGTATCTGAGGCAGTGAATGAAAGGGCAGAGGAAATGCAGCAGAGAATTTTACATGGTGTAATAGCTGAGAAAGCTTTTATCTCTCTACTAAATCACAACGGTAGCAGTCGGTGTGTTTTTTTTCTTCCTTCTGTTTTATGGAGTTTCAGAGGCCTGTTTTCTGTTTATTTGGTTTCCTGTTTGTCGCCAGAGACGCTTTTCTTTCTTCATATTTTTACTTTATGGGTTTTATAAGGAGAAAAGACCGTTCATCATTTATCTAGGTCAAAGCAAATACGGACATTTATTCACGGTCTGATTCAGGTCCCTGTTAGGATGTCAAGAAGATGTTTAGGAGCCTTGCTGGTGATTGAATACAGAGGGATTTCCCATTCTCCATTGTAGTTCTAGATAAAATCAGACTTCAGAACCTTTTGGCTTGTATAGCAGCTTTTTTTCCTCACAGGGAAGGAGCTATAATTGCAAAATAAAGATTTTATTTTGCATATTGGTCTCTTTCTCTTCTCGTCTTTGTTGTTGTGGATAGTTTATTTGCGCATTTCAGAGGGAAAAAGTCACGACACTTAACTCCAATATTTTATCAAAGACAAAATGGAATTGCTATGCCAGCATTTTTCTGCACAAATGTTCGTACTCAGGGCTTTACTTCCGTTGCCAATTATTGTCTTGGGTTTATGAGTTAAGCAACATGTGGATGCATGCTGACGCCTGTCCCTGCAGGGCTTTAATGGCATGGATTTATCCATCTGTAGTGTGTCAGAAAGAGGCTGGGCAGGAGCTGGAGATATTTATAGTGCTTTTTATTTGCTGCCTTCATTACATACTTACAAAAACACATTTAATATTTAAACACTTTCAACATACTGCAACATGCTAACCATAGTGCAAACTAGAGATGGCACTGCATTTTTTTAAACATATAAACTACAACCACCGTGTCTTTAAACTAAATACAAAATCTTAAGAATAAAGCCCCAAAATCCTATATGGAAAAGCAATATTACTGATCAAAACTTGAGTACTTTAGCACAATTATTGTGCTGTGTGGAGGTATTTTATCTGTGAAATTGCTCAGACGGCACCGTAATAAATAAATAATAAAAAAACGATGTCTGATTATAAACAAGACCATAAGAACAGGCGTGTATTAAGACACAAAGACTTAATTCCATCATCACTAATCACATTATTACTGTTCAAATAAGTCACAGCAGAATAGAAAGTCTGAATCTGTGGATGTCTGAGTGCAAAAATATAACGATGACTTAAAAGCAAATAAAACAGAAAGAAGGCTGAAAGTCTAAGCGCAGAATACTTAACAAACCCACTCAGCTGCTCTCCAGAGGTAAGTGTATCATTTTGGTTCTTAAGGCAAGGATGGAATTGGACCTGCTGAGTTACATGTTCTAAATAACCGTTAAGTTGGCTGAAGAGATGATGGAAGTCTACTAGCCGTCTGTGTCGTCCCTGCCGACGTGGAACTCCGTTATCTCCTTAGCAATGCGTTCTGCTATGGCTCTGCTGCTGGCGACGATCAGCCTCCGAGACATCAGATCAAACGGCCCACCTGGACCGAAGAGAAAATAATAAGTGAGTATTGCTGTAATAAATTTGAAGATCTTTTCACGTTGCATGTGATAACCTGGATACAAGACTGTTACATTTATGAATATTATTGCTGCTGATGTTTTTTAGAGCTGGAAGTTTTCTTGTTTCCTTATAAAATAAACTTTCACTTTTTTTTTTTAGGTGTAAATGTGAAAAATTCATTAGGTTTTCACAATGTTAAACCCCAGCAGAGATGAAGCACGTAGTGTGGCATTTGAAAAAGTTGTTTCACCTCACTAGTGTTAGTATACACCGTCAGTGTCATCGACCAAATATATTATTTAGTCAAGAAGCCTGATAGTTCCTACACTCTTGAGTAATAACACCTTATTTATTTACTTGATGCATTCATTTTGAGATGCTCCTTTGTAATGTACTGTTTAATTAGCACAGAGAAAATGAAGACGCTGTTCTCACTCTTTTACCAGCACTAATTTTTTTGTCATTACTATGCGACACTGGTGGTTTGACTTGACAAACAGCGTCCTTAGCATCTTGAATCTCAAGACAGCCGTTATGTCAGTGGCGTCAAATTTCTCAAAGCCCTCTGCTTCCCCTTTTTTTCAAACACAAAACCACTAGCTGCCCTGCTCTCCTTCTTTCACAAACTGTGTTTCACAGGCATTTGTGGGGAGAGAAAAAACCAATAACAATGAAAATTAGCAACAATAAATAATTCATAAACATTAATAACTTCTGTTGTGTTTGCGCTGAAAGGACAGCAGCCCGTTCTCACTGCTTGATTCTGTAAAGCAATCTCCCTCAGCCATCCTGCAGTTGCTCCATAAGTCAATCATCCTGTTGCCCCGTTTCCTTCATTTCATCCAGTGACTCAGCAGCCCTCTGAAAAGTTGGTGTTTGAAGAGCTAACGTTTTTTCTCAGTAACTCACCTGAAATGTCCATGATAACTCCTCCAGCTTCAGTAACAACCGCTGCCCCTCCAGCCATGTCCCAACAGTGGATGCCCATGTGGTAGTAAGCATCAGCCGACCCGCACGCCACCAGACACATGTTGACAGCTGCACTGCCCGGGGAGCGGACACTGTGGATGCAAATGGGATGTCGGCTCTGAATTTGACTGCACATGACACACTGTTAACCTCCAGATGGTGCAGTAAAAGTTTAGTGCGTGTTTGTGAATGTTTAAAGTTGTAATTCTTTAATATTTTAAAATCAGAAGCAGTTTGCCTATTTAAATGGTGCCATATGTGAGCATGTGTGCTCACATATGGCACCATACATACAAATACATATTATTTGTATGTATTAATCACTTTTATTGCCAATTTGTGACCGGTTTGTAACATAGCTTAGAAAAGAGACCTTCCCCAACCTTCTCAGTTGCCTATAACAGCCTGATTTCTATGTTAAAACTATTGGGATGCATTTTCCAGGAAAAGGATGTGACATTTTGCATGCTGCAGAGTGCCTGCTTACCTACAATGTCAACAGTGTGTAACACTACCTAATGTTAACATAATAATGGAGTTTCTTAAGATCTACAAACGACCAACACCCCCCACAACACAAAGTCATATTCTGTTTCTGTTTAGTTAAGCGTTGCTTTAGGTAAACTTTATAATATAAATAACATAGCCATCGGCAAACACAAAAACAGCACCATCTTACTCCTCCTCTTCCTCCTCCTCCTCCTCCTCCAACTACTACTACTAGCTTTTCTCACTTGCAGTCGCCTCCTCAGCTCAGCAGCCTCCTGCATATTGGTAAAATATACTGACGGTAGCTGCTGATATTACCCGGTCCAGCTTTGATTTTAATATTTACCTTAATTCTTTAAATCAAACGCCTTTAGCAAATATACACGTGGGTGTGATTATTCAGGATACTTAATCCTTCATTTAGTAGGCAACAGCAGTGAAAGCACTCAACCAGGACTGAAATGTTAAGTATTACAACTTGTGCCTAAATGTTTATTTACCCATGTACAGGGATGGTGAGGATGGTCTTGACGTTCGCCAACATTGTTTTGAAATGCTCGGCGTCCTTCTTGAAGCCCATTTCTGTCAGCACCAGAGACTGGGTGATATCTTGGATGAAAAACACAAAAGCAATAATGATCACATCTGAAAACTGAGCTGCTGGCTGTTGTTGAGACTCTTGCTGTGATAATGCCTCCACCTGGTGGATTTGTTTAAAACTGCAACACAGAAGCAGGGTTGAATTCTCAATATTTACCCTCCTGTCCAGACACTTTGATGGGGACTCCATTGCAGAAGGCTCCTTTGCCTTTCCGTGCTGTGTAGAGTTTGTCCTCGATGCAGCTGTAGACGATCCCAAACTCTATCTGAAACCAAGAAGCAGCACAGAAGACAGCAGGGATTAATGTGGAATGGGAGGAGGGCTAAAAATAGAACAACAGCCACATAAGAAGAGAAAGCTATTGTACTCATAATACATTCACTAGGTTACTGGGGCAATTACTATGTTGATGTTTCCTGTAATTAAGACGTTACAGTGTCAAAAACATAAGTGATCTTACAAACAATAAAAACCTACCTCTTTCTTCACAGTGAAGCCAATTGACACAGACACAAACGGGAACCTGCATAAAAGAACATTTTAAATATAAAAACATTAATGTAATGAACTCCCTCTAGGTTTAAACTCAGAGGAATCAATTTCTATTATCAGTTCAGTTTCATCTACATTGTCTAATTATCCCTGACAGAGAGGACAATCCAAGAGAGAAGCTAATTAAAAGATAAAAATAGTTAAGGAGCGACAGAGATAAAACGAATCCAGTGCCGTATCAGGTTCCTCAGCGGTTTCTGCAGTGTTTCTATAGCGCGGGCAGTACCTGTGAACGAAGTTGGTGGTGCCGTCAATAGGGTCGATGATCCACGTGGGATCGTCTGTGAGAACACTGGGAGCACCTGCTGCTACCGACTCCTCGCCTATGAAGCTTCCAAATCACACACAGAAAAAAACAAAAAACAAAACAGAAGATAAACAAATTTTTATGCATCATACAACTGTTACCTCAACTGTAAAATGAAAGATGCTATTCTCTGCCTGCTGTGCCCCTTCACTTTTCTATTAGAGTCTATAATAAAATAATGTGATGTGAATGTGTGTTTCTTTTTTTTTTGCCTGGATGAAGACATGAGGTCATGTACTCACTAGCTTTTCCTTCAATTTCCTGGAGGAAGTTTGCGACAGCATTACAGATAGCTGAATAGATTAAATGTTTAAAATCCAGATTATTATCGTAACATTTGGATGTTTTTTTTGTGGCTCGTGACATTAGTATTTATGAATTCTTAGCCACAGCCCTACAAGGACTGGCGATAACACATCCAAGTTACAGAAAACTATCATCCATATTGCAATTAAAATAAGCAAAGATAAGTGAAGCATTAAATACTGTGAAACAGTTACAAATAAAAGAATAAAAAATAGCATAAATAAAGACTAAACTTTGGGAGAATACACTGACAAAATGTTAAGTCCTACAGCATTACCAAGCAGTTCATATACCACCTCTCACGTCCACATTTGCTTGTAAATTACCTATGAGTTGGGTACTTTTCCTTGATGGAGGATATAATGAGCTGTTCCACTTTCTGATCCGTCTCGGTCACCAGGTCAACCGGTGAGCTCTTCTGCATGACGGCGATATCCTTCTGGAGCGCCTCGCGGATCATCTGGCAGGAACACAACAGTGACGAAGTCAGCGAGAGGGATTTCTTGGATGACTGACTACATCTACTTTAATTAGCCTAACGTATGTTATGGTTACATCTTGTTGGCAATGACGGGTCAGAGTCGATTGGGTGAAAGCTCCAGAGCCCAAATACGATTATCTGCTGTGTTTATTACACATTACTGAAACTTTCTCCTGAAATCATGCCCATTTTGTACAAGTAGATAAACCAAATTCAAACCACAGATGAATATGAATTAGTCTCAAACACAATTACCTTGGAATATAACTGCAGGACAATCTAACTTTCTATACTCATATTGAAAACTTACTGTAGACCCAATTTAGGTTCTTAGTTTTAGTTATTTTGATCTGCATCTAACCATTACCCTGCTTACTTTCTGTGATCATTACTGTTAACTTATTTACTTTGGCATTGTGTATATAGTTTGTATTTGCACCTTACTGTTAACCAGTTTATATTTATGTTATGCATACTTTGCAATGTGTACACCTTGTAATAATCTGTATTTTTTATATATTTGCACTCTTTTCTACTTCGTACTGCAACTGCTGCACAGTAATCTCCCTCAGGATAAATAAAGTTCTACCTTATCTTTCTCTGTGCGGCAAGAAAGATTCAGTGTACTTTTTCTCTGTTCTTGATTATGGTGACATCCGGTGGATGCATGTATCAGGCACACTACTGCACAGACATGATCCTGTCCATCATTCAGTGCTACGTTTTAATTTAAATGCAACTGGACTGACCTAACTAAACGTAAAAAAGAAGGCTCATATGTACCTTCTCATATTTAAAGCTTTTATTTTGGGGTAAATGTCTTTTCTGTTGTACTTTAGGGCTGTGTATTGGCAAAAAATTGGCAATACAATACAAATCACAATACGGGATTTCAATTCAGTATATTGCAATTTTTTAAAATCTAACCACCATATGCATAAAATTGTAAAAGAGTGAAAAAAGTACTATGGGGCGCTCTGTTAGCTCACCTGTTAGAGCCTGCAACCCATATACTAAGACTGAAGTCCTTACTACAGCAGCGCAGGTTTGATTCCAACCTGTGGGCCTTTTCTACATGCTTTCTCTAACCCCTTTCCTTGCTGTCAAGCTGTCACAGTAAAAAAAAAAAAAAAAAAAAGCTGAATAAAGTTTACTGTTTAATGCAACCAGAAGAGTGGGATCTGCTGTTGTATTTATCACAATCCCTATAAACATCCAACATCACAGCACTCAGATTACGCTGCTGGTTGGGGGTTTAAATACGAATACCGGTAGTAGATTTTTGAGAATCAATACAATATTTCTGAGAAAATGGATAACCTTCGGTGTTGCCAGTCTGCTTGGAAATTGGCAAAACTGCACACATAACTTAGAATAATTACCAAGACAAACTTAATTGGGAACTACCTTTATTTAAAGAACTCAAACCTAACTTTTGATATATGTTTTACCAGGAAAATAGCTGTTTGAAAATGTCAAACCCTATCCCATTTACACCTGTCAGGTCCTTCGGCATTGTGCTATATATATGTGAATGTTGTAAATACATCTCTTTACACAATGTGACTGAATGCAAAACGTCACATAAGCTCATGTTTCCACCCAAAATAAAGGGATTTTCTGACCACAGCATTAAAGAATAAAACAACCCCATAAGAGTAGCATTTACAGTACTAATACTTCCTCACCTTCCCAGCCTTTTTGGTGACCTCCACACAGTGATCCATACACTCCTGCCAAGCATCACTCATGTTGTCAGGCAGCAGCAGTGAATGTATTATCGGACAGATTATGTTCCTGCTGCAGGGGGAAGGAAAGAGACACAGATTCATTCACAGTGGCTTTCCCTTCGTGTAGCGACAGATACAGATACAGATACAACACAACTAGCTTTTATAGTTAGTACATGTGTTTAATAAACGTCGTCTCTTTAGCTGACTTAGCTCCCTGTGCTAGTTAGCTTTCCCAGGGGGGGTAAAGCACGAATAAGCGGCCGCTGAGCGTAACGACAACTACGGGTAAATGCCTAAAATGAACGGCGTAAATCTGGATTTAATTAAAATAAACAGCACAAAGAGTTTCAATGAGCTATTGCTGATTCAACCCACCTCCAAACGGACTGACTTCTTAGTGTTCACTTTTAGCTTATGGAAGGGTGGGACTAAAGAGGCAAGGCTCGCTCTCATTGGTCAATAAATGCCGTCGGATGTGATCTCGCCGCTCTCATTGGCTAGAAGGTCATTTCTAGCCAATAGGAAGCTGATGAGCAAGTGCCATGGCTGTCACTGAATGAATACAGGAGAGGACAGCTTCTACTTGTTGACATCCACAAGAGGAAGGAATAAAGGATGGTTTCTGTAAATGTGAGATTTTTTTATTTCTCCTTTTATTTGTATATATGTTTATAAAGCTGTAGATGCATATCTGTCACATTCAGGCGTTAAATCTTTGCCTTTTTACAAACTGCAAGCTGTGTTTGAAATTACATTATAGTCTAGTTAACAGGGATTTTTATATATATATATTTAAACACAAAAAGAACATAAATGTATTGGTGGCAACACACAAAATGTATTTTATGTGTGTGCATCTGAAGATATGGGGGGGGGGCATGAGTGGGTAAAAGAAAAAGAAATCAACAAACTTGTAACTTTTATTCCTCTTTTTGTCTCAGATTGGAAAGATCTCACTCTGGATCCAGACGCAGCCCACCCTGAGCTCTGCCTCTCTGCACTAAGGGCCACATACATCGAGCACCCCTTCGCCAGTCCCCGAACCACGCAGGGAGCTTTGACTACTGGGAGGAAGTGCTGTGCAGCCAGGGCCTGATGGGACGTTGTTACTGGGAGTTGGAGTGGAGAGGGCAGCAGGTTTGCATAGCAGTGTCATACACAGGTATAGGCAGGGAAGTAGGAACTCTGTCCTTTTACAGCATCTCTGACTCAGTGGTTCTCATGCACAGAGTCCAAACCACATTCACACAGCTTCTTGTTCCAGGCTTTGAGTTTTATAATCATGGAGACCATGTTAAATGTTGCCATCTGAAAGGTCATTATGAATGGTTTCAAGACATTTTAACTTTTAACTCTTACAACTGCAGATAAGTCCAAAGTGGTGCCCCAGAGGACGAGTCAAGGGTGCCACTGAATTTGTGGGTGAACACATTTTAAAGTACATTTTTAATGTTTGATGACAAAAAAAAAAAAAAATCCCTGAGAAGCTATCAGTAGTAAAGATACAAACACATACCTCTCTAGACCAGAAGGTGGCAGCAGCACTACTGTATGTGACAATGCATGTATGTCGGCTGCCTCTGTTGTTGTTGTTGTTGTTGTTGTTGTTGTGTAGAGGCTTTTATTTCTGCAGGCGACTTCAGGTATTGTTTTAATATTGACCCGTAAAGCTCAATATGCAAATACTAATATGTGCCACTGTTTATTTTAAGACTTTGCATGTAATTTCATAACTTGAGTCAAGTTAACCAAAAAAACATTTGTAAGTTATAGCTTCACAAATGTTGAAATGTGTTCTGCATTTCTGTTTTTGTTTTTGGCTCCTTGTGTTTCTCAACACTTTTAGGACTCATCAAGTAAGGCTTATGATCCGAATTCAATTGAAAAATGCTGTCATGAGTTAGAGTTTGGAACTGATGTTGCTAAGCAGCAACACTTTAGTTGTCAGTTTGTGCGAAATTAAGGTCAAAGAAGAATACACTGTGACTTGACTGCCATGCTTAGTTGCACTTCAGCTCGACAAGTTAGCCTCAAAGCTAATTTGTTTCCCCTGTTTAATATCTTTTTCGACTACGTCTCCTGAGCGGGAAACAACAAATAAAAGCCCAAAGACCCAAGAACAAATTTCAAAGCAATTGTCAATGACAGGGAGAAGACGGAAAGAGGGAACACATAACACATTTGTGTCTAAGCATGATCACTCCTGTTGTGTCATTTTTAATGTTTTCCCTTCATGTTTTCAACTGATGATGGTTAGAGAATTATTGCTGTATAAATATACTAAATTCTTTACTTTTTCTTATTATTATCGTATTATGTGAGATAGTTAAGTGTCTTAATATCTTAACAGAAAACAGAATTGTCAATGTCATGATACGTTTGAGATTTAGAATGATTTCCTCCACTTTACATGTGTATATGGACATTATTTCTATTTTTTGAATTTGTCTCACAGGCATGAAATAGTTAAATGGAAAAAAGGAAATGGGGTTTAGATAATGAACGTTAATAAGCTTCCTTCTACTTGAGTATATTTTTCATAAACTACCTATATTGGCAAGATGTTGGTTCTGCTTCCTCGAAAAAAATGTACACAGACTTTACATGGAAGTCATTACAAAAACAGATTTGCTGTGTTCAGCTCGTGCTTTACAGTTTATTTTTTTGCTTCCTTCTCTTCGAGGCTATATTTGGCAGCTTAACCTCAGAGCATTTCATGTCAATAAGCTCGGGCAGACCTGTGGAGAAGCTCTGCCCTCCTTTGCTAACAGCGCAATTAGCCTTAAAATCACAAGGGCACCGTCTCATCCATACAGATTTACCCTCAGACGGCCTTTATCTTACAAATGAGGTGGCAGAAATCCAAAATGATAATTTTCCTTCAGCAGTTTAATGAGGAGTCTGGCAGAAATTAGGCATACATTAAATCTATTTCTTCCAAACCCAATTGTTTCTTGTAGTATGTCTTAAGACAAGGAAGTATAATAAAAAAAAAGACTAGATTAAGATCTCTATATACCTGTCACACGGACTTGTATGAACAGTTTTATTTACGTTTTACCGGTAAAACCTGATTCACAAAACAACATCTACTATCTTCATCATAATACTGCAGAACTCCTTTTGTCCAATAACACAAACATATATGTCTCCCTTCAGCCCACCATGGCACCATATCCCAGAGAACAGTGCTCACTCTATGTGGGGAGATTCTTAATGGCACCATAATGGGAGTCATGCGGATCTACTCTTTGCAAGAGGAGGCTGGAAAATCATCCGTCCTTTAAGAATGTCTCTGTGGGTTGGAAAGAAGCTGTGTTTGTCGACATATGAAGGCGAGCCTCTCGGGCATGACAACCATTAGCCCCGAGAGGAGGTTACACATCAGATCACACCACAACGGGGCTCAATTTGTGCAGAAGCCTGACCTGAGCAACGCATAACATCACAACCATGGAGCCATTTCTTGCACTTTGACCTTCTGCATTGAAAATGGTGAGCATCTACTTAAAATATTGCATTTTAACACTGAATTACAAAACTGGGCATTTGTACGAATTTGTCTATTCACACGATATTTTATATTTGCATGTGGTAACCACTGTCATTTAAAAGAAATGTGTATCTTTTGTGTCTCCTTTAAATGCTATGAGAGGTATTGTTTTCTAAAGGTCATGTTTTTTTTTTATCTGCCATGCTTGAAAGCTCGAGACAAAAAAAAAAAAAAGACGTGGGAGGAAGTTTTGTACATGCCACAACAAAATTACATTTCAGTCAATCACGCAGTAACACACTCCCTGTGACCTTCCAGGAAGTACCTGTTTCCCTGTAATGGTTGATTGATTGATTGAGAATGTTCTTTGCTGTTGATCTACAGTAAGGCAGATTAAGTCATGTACACACACGCATCTTTTCTGAGGCGCAATGAAGCGGATCAGGGTCTTACTATCATCAGCGCCCCTAAAACATCTGCGTCCTTTGTAATGATCAACGTGACATTATGTAAGTAATTCCTCCTGACATTCCCACAGTTATTCCTTCTTCCTTTTCTTTTGATGTGCCCCTCCCAAATGCAATAATGCAATAATTTCTCCTTTCTTCTGTCCGTTTCAAAGGGTTTATTATGCTCCTGCTCTGCCCTGGTCAACTGAAAGCCCAGTTCGGGACTACCCCCAACATTAAACACATAGTGGTTGGAAGGTGTTACAATTACATCACACTAGTTAACCCCAGCTTGAGGTAATGTACTGTCCCGCAATCTTGAGTGAAAATCAATTTGCAAATTAAATTTACCTTTTGACTTTAACAGCAGTGACTAGAGCTGCAGAACTTGAAGACTTGATTTCCTCCTACAGCCCAAAGTAGAAGTAGTATTTTGTCTGGCCAAGCAAATTATCAATCCGGTGTTGTACCACTTGTATTGATGTGGTGTTAAATAAGTTTTCTTCTTTTCTGTGCTTCAGTAGAAAAAAAGAAGACAAAGATGGTTTTGGTGGAAAAGAGGGCATGTACCGATACCCTTTGTATGAAAAGATGTTTTATCTCGTGGGAACTTTTAGCTTTTATTTACATAACTTGATTTGTAATTGTTAAGTTCAGTGATATTTACTTAGCCCTTATTTGACAAGGGGTTATTATCTAGTTTCATGTGTAGTTATAGTTAGGGTTATCACTACCAACTATTATCCAGTGTTTACATTTTCAAATGCCATTCGGTTTAGTAAAAAAACATATTAGGACTTTATTTCTTGATCTGATTTGTTTGAAATGTAATGGCAATTTGCAAAACAATGACTATTCCAAACTTTATCAATTAATTATTAATTAATTTTTGAATCACTTGGTCTAGAAAATGTTTGAAAATGGTGACAAGTGTCCATCCCAGCTGGTGAGGTCTTTAAATACATAATTATACAATTGTATTAAACTAAGTAAACCAGCAGCTATTCACGTAAGAAGCTGAAACAAACAGAGAATTGTGGCATATTGAACGATTAATCAACAAATTTTCCGTCAATCGACCCATCGACTACTCGCTGCGTCCCTAGAAGATATAAAGATATTTCATCTTTACGTGTAGGTATGACTGTGAGGACATCTGGAGACAGTTTGAGGAGGCGGTGGCACGTCAGTCCTCATGTAACGTGACGGTGGAGGATTATCGTCAGATGTTTTACGCGATGCCGCAAACCTGGCCTTGTGATAGGGTGAGCAAGAGATCCATTATTAGATACATGTTCACTGTTTTTCACTGATACCTCATTAAACGGAGTTAAAGTACTTTGTATTTCCCTTCTCATTCGTTTAGTTCCTCTTCTGGAGTAAAACCAGGACACTGATGCACAGCTATGCAGCTGTTGTACGTCACTTCTGGACTCTGGAGGACACACTGGTTGGCTACATGTTCAACGACCTCATCTGGTGTGGACAAGAGGAAGACTCTGGTAGGTATTTTCTGGTTATAACAAGGCAGAGGCAATCAAAATAACTCAAAACACTGATACATAATTCTTGTCCTAGTAAATGCTAGTAAAGAATGCCCCTAAAACAAAGACAGGAGTAACCCAGTGGTTTCCAAGCTCTTTAGCTTTTGAAAAAATGAAGCAGCAGAACAACATTTTTTTGTTCTTTCCTGTCCAAATAATTAGCACACAAACACTCCAATTTATCTCATTACAGGGTCATGAACTCCAGGTTGGGAAACACTGCAGTAACTCAATCATGATCCAACATTTCCAGTAACTGGATTTGTTTTTGGTGACTAAATTGGGTGACATGGTGTACCAAAAGTGACACAATCAAGTTTACTTACTTACATACAACTAAACAAATACAATAAAGTACAATGTTATAGAAAAGAAATGGTTTATTTACTAATGAGTATGAAATTGTTTTGTATTGGCTCATTTGAGATATGACTGATATACCCTGCTAACAACATTTAGCAGCTTAATATTCAAATCGTTCCAGGTAGAGACCAAAACCAGAGATAAAACAGAGTGAATATTGGACCTAATTTGTCAGGTGGCCAGAAATACAACTCCAAATCAATGCTAAGCAGTTTGCTCACTAGGCATGGGACGATATGAAGATTTCATGTCACGATTATCCTGCCCAAAATAATTGCAATATTATCCAGATAATCATCTGGTACTAAAACTAATACTGGAATTCCTTTATCTCCCTCTTGTTTAGTTTGGAAACCATAGTATTTCTGTCTGGTTTAACTTTTTTATGTGGGATACAAGGAGCAAGCCCAGCCTTCAGCCACAGTGACAGGTTTAGGATTTTAGAATGACTAGAAAGATGGGAGTTCCCCCTTGAGGCAATTCAACATGAATCAGGAAATCAATATAGAGCTGTACATTAGTGACCTAGACAGCTTTTTCACCACACTCATCAGGATATTCACGATAATACCGAAAAATAAAAGTTCACCGTGATATGACTGTTTTTTATTGTGATACGTGATAATATTGTATATTATATATTATATTATACCATTACTACAAGTTTACCATGTCATCTTAAATGTCAGAAATATGTCAGTGTGTTTCTAAACTACCAATAACCCTTAATATCTAACAACAAACAGTGTATTCAACTGCAAAGACGTTTTGCTTTTATTCATGTATTTGTACTGTGAAGAAACTTGGTAGCATTGGGATTCAAATGAAACCTCAACACTCAGGCAGCTGCAGCTGTTCTCCCAAATGCCTTTAGGGTTTTTTTTATTACAGTCATACTGCTGAGTGATTAACCTGCCAACACATCACTTTGTTTTTACTATCCATTCTCATGTCTCATTTGAATATCATCAAAGTGACGATTCCTTTAACTGATAGCTGTGAATTTGACACACAGGTTTTGATTTCAGTTCTTGTCCGGAATGGTCAGCATGCCGAAACCATCCAGTGTATTCCTTGTGGAGGCAAGCCTCACAGAATGTGAGTCTAATGTCCTAACTGCGGAACCAGCTGCATTGTTTATCATTCATATGCCAAATACTCTTCCAAAGCCAGCAGTGAATTATTGCTCTCATGTGACTTTCTTCACCCATTCGTTAGTTTGCAGAAATGGCATGCGGCAACATCACTGTATTACTAAATGGGTCTATTGTCAATGCCTTCAGTAGGAAAAGGTAAAAAAAAAAAGATGAATGAATCAAGCAAATATTTTAATAATGGTGTTTACTATGTGTCTATAAAATAATCTCTTTTATCTCACAGCATGTTTGGAAGTGTTGAACTGGATGGTCTGAACCCACGCAGGGTGGATTATGTCAACATAAAGGTGGTGACCAATCTAGAGGGACCCTTTATGTGAGGATTAAAACAGCTGATACTTTGTGTTACAGTAAAATATTCAAATGTACCAAATAGCACAAGGGTTTTTTTAAGTTAAGTTTTCATGTCAATGCTTGATAGATGAGTTATAAGCAATGAGTAAGAACAACTTTTGGGTGGCCAGATTGTGAACAAAATCCTCTGTCAGGTTCCTCTATCAGAAAACTTCGCTTTAGCTCTTTAATTCATCAGGAAGACTCTTTAATGGACAACCTCTCGAAAAAAAAGGGAGGATCTGGACTGAAATCCATTTATTACCATTTAGTAACATTCAGGCATCATACATGAAATAGATTACCAAGTTTCATTGTATGCATGAATTATAGATTATTACCAAATAGAAAAGATAAACACCTACCAGATGGATTTTTCAGAACCTGTAACCAAAGTTCTTATTAAAGGACCAGTGTGTAGAATTTAGCGGCATCTAGAGGTGTAATTGCAGATTGCGACCAACTTGCCACACCCTCCCTTTCCAAGTGCAAGGGAAAAACTAATTCGCAAAAAAATTGGAGCAGTCCTATCTAGAGCCAGTTTTTGGAATGTCTGTTTTGAGCTACTGTAGACACATGACGGTTCAACATGGCAATCACCATGGTAGTTTACACGTGGCGTCGGTAGATAAAAACAGCTCATTCTACGGTGATTATACTAATGAAAACATACCTATGAATATTAAATTCCCTTTCTGCCAATGGATCCTCTTAAATGTTACACACTGGACCTTTGATGTCTTATGATCAACCACTGATATTGCCATTTATTGCAGCTCATATGCCCATTATAAATGGTGACTTATCAGAAAGTGATAAACATTTTTATCTACGAATCAAGTCCCTTGTTTTTCTCTTCTACAGAGAATCATGTAGTGAAGGATCCATTGTGGACCTGCTCCAAATCCTCCAGTCCAGAGGTTTCCGCTGGACCTGCACAGACAACGACCAGTAAGTGACTTCCAACAAGTCCTCCAAAACTGAACGCCAAAATACGTTGTTTGTCCGTGTCTCTCTAAAATGGCGCGTAGAAGCATTTCCTGACCTGACACAGACAGACAGATGACTTGTGAGACTTGTTGCTGATAATGTTTATGACTTAATTATGAACTTCCTGATGAATCCTGGACTAACAGATATCATATTTTTCCACAGGACTCTGATGATCCTTCAGTGTATCCAGAACCCCAAACAGTCCTCCTGCCAAACATGTGCAAACAGCCTGTTACACAGAAGGAGCCTCGTGTTTAACTGAATCGCCCACTATTGTGGTTTGTTTCTTTGCCTCACTACACCTTGAGTAATATCTAACTGACTTTAAACTTTTGGCTATCTTACTATCGTGACAGACCACAGTAATTACCACACAGAAATTGTGACACAGACTCACAGATTACAAATAGAACTGAGTTTCACTCCATGTGTAAGGTGTATTTGCATCAAACAGGATACAAGAAAACTAACCTGACAAAAATCAACTGACATGAACAGAGTCATCATTCTCTTTTATACCGTTTACTGATGATGACTAAACAGTGTCATAGCACACCCAATATTTCACCCATAGTTGACAAGGATCTTCCTGGCCATCCTAATTGTCTTCAAGTACTTCCTACAAAATTCCTACATCCCCTTATTGTACTGTACCTACCCGTGTTATTTCCGAGGCCTGATTTACATCTGCTGCGTGCTCTCCTTAGAGTTACACTGTACCATAGTTTCTTACCTCAGTCTCATCTCTTTTATTTGTTTTTCACCTTACATAACATGTGCATATGAATTTGTATGAATGTATAAATGTGAATAAACATAAGCATGGAATATCAGTACTGTTACATAACACAACAGAATATTGTTTACTTAATGTTCACGTTACCTCTTGTTTTTTTCCCCAGTAACATGGTACATGAACAATATCAGGAATTGGTTACATCAGTGCTTTAAAATCACGTCCCCCTTGTTACTTCGCGAGCCACTTAAGATGACTACGTAGCATTACAGAATATGCAGTTTTATCGGTTTTACAAACTGGTAATCAAGCAAGCATATATCATATAACAATGGTAAGGAGATATAATTAAGACTGGGTACATTACAATCTATGTGAGTATCAGTCGTCTTCCGCCTGATCTATCTGTGATCATGCAACTGCATGCCAACCAGTCACGACTCATACTGGGACTAACCTTGGAAAAGTCAGTTCAGAAGGAGATGAACTACCACACGAGACATTGCGAGAACTACAGCAAGGAAAACAACTGTGGCATGATCAAGTGACACACTGATTGCGACAGATGGGGCGAAAGAAGGTCTATATACAGGTCCTGTCTAGAAGAGAGACAACTTCTGGAGGGAATGAGGGACAAGGCAGCAAGGAGACCGTTATCCAGTATGAGAACATGGAACCACCAATTTCAGGACCCAGACTGCTGTGCAGCAGAGACAGGTAGCACTTGATTGATGAATGGAGCTGTGGTCTAAAGTCCCAATAGCAAAGCTGCTGACCTCCTGATCAGACACAGAATCATTAAAAACTGGCTGCTCAAAAGAGTTCCTACATTAAAGCAGAGTGTTTTCTTTATACCCAGTACTTGTCACTGATCCCAGTCCATTAGCAGATTAGGTCAGAATGCCTTTTGGACTGCCAAATGTATCGGTTACTCAAAGCCAAAAACTCCTACTTTACTAGAGTATGCTCATTTTGAAGCTCTGGTCTTGTTTGAAGACTTTTTTTCAGCTTTTTATGCATTTTTCTAAACCAGTGTGTTTAAATAAAAAAAATTACCACACAGCTAATCTGGGGCAACTCTAGCACTGAAAACCTGTACACATTTCACAGAGGGTTGAATGAACAGGGGTTAATTGAAGTCCAGCAGCTAATTTTCGCCTCGGGCCTCATAGCAGGTTTATCACCTGTGTGTGTTTATGGGACCAAATGTCACAAAGGAAACACTGCAGGCCCTGAATGTGTAATCTAGTTAAGAGTTGTAATAAAAATGAAATATTATGTAATAGTTTTAAAAGTCTGACATAAGTATGATTCTGTTTTTGTGCAAACCCTCAGGCTCTAAAACACCCATACGACATACTGACCTATTTTCCTTTATTTGTTTCACAACAGGTAGATGCCAATAGTATCAAAGCTACAGTCTGGAGTTTGATTTGAACTTGCAACCATAGCTTACTTATCAATAAACATGTCATATATTTATGGTACAAGATCATTAAAGCAGGACACATCAGCAATTTAGAAATATACAAGCATGATTTCTAGGAGACAGGGTTGGCAAATGATATGTTATTGGATCATTCAGTCATTAAACAGAGTTGGAGAACTTGTTTACAGGAGTGGATAACCTTTAGTTAGATGCATGTTGCTTGCATGTTTGTACTTACATGTCTTCAGTATTTCTCAACATGTTCACCATTGATTGACATTGATGGCCATGACCTTTGAATTACAGCGCACAACCACCACCATCTCACAGCTTTTAGTAGCCGATTAGTGTTTAATTGCATGAACTTCACCCAGCTACTGTAACAGTTTCTTGGTTTTAAATTCTATCATTGACCTACTTACCATATACTGAAAGATTCAGAGCCGCCAACTGTAAAACCCCCACAGTGGGGTTATGTTTTGGGTTGTACAATGAGGGGGCCAGACTCTGTATTTAGTTCATTTATTCATATTTCTTTATTTTTAATATGGATATGGCCCTGTTTACACCAAACTATTGAAGCTAATTTCTAGGGAGTGAAATTAAAGTCAAACAGTTAAATAGTGTATAGTTTGTTAGAGATTTCTGAAGCACAGTGGTGGAAGAAGTATTCTGATTATTTACTTACTCCATTACAAGTTCTGTTACAAGTGCATTAGTAAAAGTACAGATGCATTTGCAACTAAATGCATTTAGATGATTAAAAATAAATGTATTCACTATGTAGAATTGACATTTTTAATATACTCTTGGGTAGGTTAATTTAAAAGAAAAATCATCATATTTGATACATTAACATGTTCTGTATGTACATTTTGTATCTGAATAGTACAATGACGTATATATAGTAGCGTAACATGTTAACAGAGATGGTAGAAAGTAATTAAGTGCATTTACTTAAGCACAATTCAGACATTCAGATTAATAATACGAAATATGATCAACATATAAATTATGATGTAGCCTTATGGTTAAAGATAATGCTTTATTGACCCCTTGGTGATATTCACAAGGTAGCCTCATAAGATTTTACCAGCTGCAACATTAAAGTGATGTACACTATAATGCATCAATAGTTATAATTCATCAATACAATAGGCCTATATATTATACCAAAATGGGCCATTCTGAATGATAAGTGCTTACTTTTTTTAGTTTCAGTATATTGATGCTAAAGTTCTTAAACAGAGTATTTTTTACACTGTAGTGATATTCATTTTAGAAGTAAAATATCTGAGTTCTTCTTCTTACACCTCTGGTTAATACCCAAGTACAAGTGTCACTTCCCGCCACTGCTGAACGGTCTTGTTGTGATCCTCGGACCACAGTTTGGGCAGCTCCACGGTGACAGATAAGATTCCTGATTGGACCAGACCTTAAATGGCCACGAGCCAGCGCACGTAAGCACGCACACGCGCCGTGATTGCGCTCCTCCATAAATAGAGGTCGGAGAGCGAGCGCCGTCTCAGTGACAGCAGTTTGACGGCCAAACTTTCCGGTGACATTTTAAATCTGTGAGGTTATTTTAAATGGAGCAGGGAGAGCCTCGACTTCGGAAGAAGAGTTGGAGGAGACGCTACATTTGTATTGGTGTCCTCGGCGTCCTGGTTCTCATTGTTGTCATCGCCGTTGTGGTGGGACTGGTACTCCGTAACAATACACAGCAACTTAAAGGAACATTTATTGACAGGTGTAAGAAGTTCAACGTGTAAGTCTTTTTATTTTTAAACCGTCTGTGTAAAAGAATATAAAATGAGTCTCAGCCGACGATAAGCTGCTTCTTCACACAACTTGGAGAGTGAAAATAATTCAATTTAGAATAGAATTTAAGATATGTTGAGTATAGGTCGCAGTAAGTTAGCATTTATCCTCAGTACAGCCAGCAAAAACAAATGCAGTCTAATAATAGTGTGAGAACACAATGTGCCATTTTTGGGTTTTTCTCTAATAATAAGAAATAATAATAATGAAAAAAAATAAAAAATAATAATCAGTTTATAACTTACCCACATCAATAATAACCTTATATCAAACATGTTACATGATTATAAAAAGACAAAAAAATCTAGAAATGCATGGCAAACATAGCATATTTTCAATATTTTAGAGAGCCCCCCCCAAGATTTCACAAATCATGTTTCCAGGGGAGCTCATGTGCTTTATATTAGAAAACAATCCTTTTAGCTAAGTGCACCTAATAAACTGGTAACAGAGTGACTGTTAACACACACGCTCTATGGAACAGACTGAAATTCAGAAGTTGTGATTTCATGAATGGGATATAGCGTGCATGCATGCTGCTACGCTTTAGCAATATCAGTGTGATTCATCAGGGATTGTATTGATAAAGTGGGAGTGTAATAACAAGTGGGCCACCCAGAAAGAGTGAAAACCTGTAAGTACATTCAGTGTTAAAGTTTGAGTCAGTTTGGCACTCCAGTTAATGATTAAGTGGCTGGCCTCCTTTCTGCACTTTCTGCAAGTTTGCACATTGTTAGTGTCTATCCATTCTACTTACACTGTAATGACAGTGCTGTTTTCTGTATTATTTATTGTATCTATATTGACTGGACATACAGTGTAGGGTGTTTTTCAACCATGACACGGTTTCTTTTTAATGAAAACTGTGATCATAACTGCTAACAAATCTGGTCCTACACTTAAGCTTTTCCCATCAGAATGAGTCGGATCCATATTCCTGAGACTAAGCAGTACTGTTGTCTATTTTTTCAGATCCGACTGTCAAAAGGTCTGGGATGCATTCGAACAAGCCTATGTAGGGCGGGACCCTTGTGAAGTTCCCATGGAAGCCTATGATCCTTTCATTGCCGCAGCGCCCTTCGAACCTGCATGCAACAGAGTAAACACCACCCATCACAAGACTTTCTGTGAGCACATTATCCACTCATGGCTTCTTTTATAATGCGAAATAATACATTTGACAATATGATGTTTGGGTTAGATGATGTTCTGGAGCAAAACGAAGGATGTGGTCCATGAGTTCACTGCGAAGAGTGATTGTTTTGTCACCCTGGAGGACACTGTGTTGGGAGCTGTGGCAGATGGTCTGACCTGGTGTGGAAAGAAGGGCAGCAGTGGTAAGACTCTACCTAATTATGAGGTTATCTATTTCCTGGAGAGTTAAGTTAATTGTTGTAGAAAAATTGATTAAAGGGACACAAAAAGAATTTAAAAGCATGTTTTAAATTATCTGTGGCAACAACTTCATCTCTTTTTTTAAACCTGTTATTAAGACCTTACAGGCCCTTTGTGTGTGTGTGTGTGTGTGTGTGTGTGTGTGTGTGTGTGTGTGTGCCTCTTTAGACATGTGAGGGAATAAGAACCAATATCATAATAGCTGATGTCAAATGCCAGAGGTGTTATTTCAATATCTGAAGTTACTTTTACATAAAGCGTGTCAAGTCACGTCAAAGAGGCAATTATCAACAGATCCCAGACTGGCTCATGGAAGGAAAAAGGTCAAACAAAATTGGCACGTATGGAAGGTACAATGCAATTTGATCTTGCTGGGATTGTAAGCACCCACGCCTCTGCAGTAATTCTACACAATACCTTATCTCGAGAATTATCATCATTGTCCAGGAGCT